CAAGCACAAGCGTTTAGTGACTTTGTGATTACGGTGCTAGTCCAGGGTAGGAATGGTGACGAAATCGACGTTCACAGGCAGACTGGCTGAATTAGTGCCTGTGACAACTTGTGATACTTTCCAGCCTGATTTCCATCCATATTTTTGCCTGGAACATTCTGAATTCGCGGGTCGTCCAGATTTTCGTAACTGGCGCCAGTTGCAACAATAAAAAATTCTCTAGCTGGTGCTGCGCATTCTGGTCGTCTCGGTTCTTTGTTGGTCTATACCAAAATGTAATCGACAAAAAAAGCTGCTTGAAGCTCTGTACTTTTTCACCTATTACGTCCAAGCTGATTACATTTTTTTATTATATTTCTATTACGTTACTAGAGCCTCGCACACTAACCCCCGAGTGTGCGATGCAAAATTAAAATGAGATAACCAGAAACCCGTTGCGGGTGCCCTGAAGTCGCTGACGCAAATTTCGAGGAATGTATTTGGAAAAGTATATGGAGGAGAGCAAATACATTTCGTTGTATTTTTATCTTGTACTTAAATGTTTTTTGAAAATGTAGTTAGATTTGTAATTAAATAGATTTTTGACGAAGTATTTTGTATTTGTATTTCGATACATATTTGCATGTATTTTGCCCATCCCTGGTGCGGAGCAACGGGGGCTAGTACGGTGCCATATGACATCACGTGCAAGGCCTGAAATTATTAGTGAACAATTAAAGTGTGCAATGAACATTCAAAATTAAAAAAAATGGACATGAATTGTACCATTTTTCTAGATTCCTGGCTCCCTAACACCCGTCTTCAACGTCCTCTTTTGCCCACAAAGCGACGTGGAGTTAGTAAAACTTAAACCCAATACTGTTTCATGGTTCCTTTAAGAGCTTTCGTGAGGTGTCTCTATACCTTAATATTTTAAACACCAAAGGTGTTTTATCAGCCGGATTCTACGAGAAAACCGCCAGGAAGAACCGTCAAAAATGACTGACGTCAAGTGATACTATGACGTCACCATGACGTCATTATGATGTCATCATGGTATCACCGTGAAGTCATGGTGAAATGATGGAGTTATGCTGTCACGTGACGTCACAGTCCTTCTAGACGGTTCTTTGTGACGTTTTGACGTCACGTTATAGCATGACGTCATGTCACACCGTGACGCCACGTGATACCATGACGGCGTGTGACGTCACAGTCATGTGACCTCAAGACGTCCCACGCACATAGCGTGTGCCTTGCTCAGGCAAAACACATTATGAGTTCCCCGGGTTTTCTTTTTCAGCACGATCAAGCTTATTAATTTTTTTCTCATTTCAGTATCCGTCCAATCTGTACATGAAGCACCCACTGCAACATTACACCGAAGCATACAAGCATAAGTTAAGAGAGTATCTAGAGAGCTTCAAATCGGACCTTCCTCCCCAAAGGTACACGTTCCCTTCGCTCACTGGACCCTTAAGACTAGGTAGCTCAAACAAAAGCTACTCCAAAAGCTGCAGGTTCGCAGTAGCCCTCTTCCTGTGCCATTAAATCTGCCACAACCGTCATTCATTCCTTCGGGCCGGGTCAGGGTGGTTTACTATGGATACAAACAGCGCAAAGGACGAGGGCTACTAGCCGTTCTATAAGTCCTGGTCCTTTCCGCTGTTTGTGTTTCACCAACTAGTCCACCAGTTCATTTTGCTGCAGGATGGTTTAGTGTATAGGTTGATGGACCACAATATATGCAAGAGAGGCTCTGCCCACAGAAATCAAAACTCAGCCCGCTCATAAAAGGATTGGTGGGACAGTAGCTCCCCTCTAGCAAACTGCAATTCACTGGCAAGTGCTAAACACAGTTCATTTGACCGTTCATTTTAATCTGCAAGCAGTAACCCTGAGAAGGGGAGAACGGCGGGGAGGAGCTTCCGTCGTGCCGCCTCCCGCGCGAGCATCCTACTTTGGACAACGTTTCGACGTCTCATGCACCTCTAACTCGTGCACGTACAGCCGAAGCACGGCGGAAGGCAGGGAGCGCGTGCTGGAGTCCGGACGTCGGAAAGTTAAGCCCTGCCGCCCTCTTCTCTTCGGCGACTCTATAGGAGTGGATGTTTGTATGGTGTCCCGTCATGTGACTCCAGCAAAATGATGCATATTTTATTGAGGAGAGTTACTCTTCCTCGGAAATCTTAGAATTTTCTTTTTTTTTCTGGTGGAAAGGAGGGGGGTGTATTTTGGCAAAGATCACGTGACCTTTGTCATACATATATGTCATACATATTTTAATAGGAGATGCTCTAATAACGTTACGGAATCAGCTGACAAGAACGCCGGAGAACGAAATCACAAATCAAGAAGCAAGATCGCAATAGGTCACGCCCAGATATTTTTTAGCTGTCGCTAACTACTGACGATCTCACGTCTTGCCACAATATATACTTTATCCAAACATGACATCTTCGTGATACATACTTTCCCACACCTTTCACGAAAAGAAGCATTGCTCCGACAGCTTGAAGGCCGACCTACATAATCGTCTTCTGCCGCGCAGAAAACTACCTCCCAGTTTCCTTCCCTGCTCTCCCTTTCGCACTCTTCACTCCTCCTCTCCCCACGGGAGCGGGTCTCCGAGCTACCCCCCACAGAAAGGAGGAGAGTCTTCCTCTTTCTCTAATGGAAAGGAGGAATGGAGGGAGAGTTTCCTGCTTTCTGCCTGTTGGTAGGCCTTTAAGGAATACAGGGCGTGCCTTAAGGTACTCACGGTCCTTGCATCCTGATTGCTAATGCTGCAATCACATCGACTGCAGATCGTAAATAAGACGCTTGGAACTTGCCACACCTTGTGTTTCTAAAGCATCGGTGACTATACGGAGCGCAAGTTCGTTCAAGTTCGTCTGCTTCTTTTTCCGGGGTTGTGGTGACATGAAAATCTCGAGCTTTAATTGTCTCAGATTTAAGTATAATGAGTAAACCTCAAAGCAAGCGGCTTTGAGGTCTACCCACTATCCTTCAATCAGAGCCAATCAGAAGTCGGCGTTCTGACGTCACCACAACCCCGGAAAAAGAAGCAGACGAACTTGCGCTGCGCAGAGGATTTGTTTCATTAACTGGTATATGTCACAAACGAGTATGTCTTTAATCAATTACGTGATTTGGCAGATATCCGCCTTCCAGCAGCTTCGACTGCAATATTGTATATGACAACGACGCCAATGCTGTCTGTGAGTATTTGCAGCTACTAATTTTCAATTTTCAAGCGCGTATTTTTTTTTCTTTTCGTATCCTTTAACGCATATGGATTATACTTTGTCAACATCAAACTCTTTCGGTGTCTTTGCTTAACGACTTGTGCATATATGGAAGCGTTTTATTTTGATTCCTCTCTTTGAATGAAACATCAATGCTTGAATGGTCTGAAACTCCGAGCGAAGTTCTAATTATTATTTTATAACTTGGCTGGTTTATCTCCACCACTTCAGGGGTCCTCTTTGGTTTATGAATGCATACAGTTTGCCGATAATAAATAAATGAATAATCCTGACGATTTTTACTCGGACGCAATACCAAAGAATAATATGGGTGCGAAATTTGTCACATTTTTGTGAGTAATCGGAACGAATGGAGTCACTTATATATAGTGTCGTTGCCCTGACTTTAATTTGCAAGGTTCGAAACATGAAAGGGCTGTGTAACACAGCATCGATTTTTATTCTTTTTTTCGTACAAGTGTTTAGGATTCACAAACTTCTGTTTCAGTTGTTCCAACCAGCTACTTTGGTCTGAGCCTTCAGGCGATCCCGTTGCTGAGGTACCATATTCTGCCTCTGTACCTTCTATTACCTCGCTTGTGGAATATTCGCGCACTAGAGCTTATTTCTCAGTAGCCTGCTTAAGTGCTCTGCAAAGACAACGTGAATTTGCCCTACTCGCCTGCTAATGTATTTGTAGGTCCTATTCGTGTTTATACGCACTGCAGAAAAAGGTAATTGACTAATATTTTGGGCCGCTGTGGTACGCAGTTAAAAGATTTTGACTATAGTGGAATTTTCTTAAACGTCCAGGATAAGATAAAAAAAAAAAAAAAAACATTTCAAGTTTCTTGTCAAAGTCAAGCTCAAAGGTAACGAACTTCATTCATCTTACTGAGTTTGTTTAAAGCGGCCTTTATTATTTCATCAATAGGAAATACTACGTTGTCAAACTGTTACCAGATCTGGTTCGTGCAGTGACAAAGGTTCTGGCAAGGAAACGCAGTAAGTGTGATTACGCACCTTCGTATAATGTGCTTCCATTTAAAATATATAAATAAATAAAAACATATGTTGGTTAGTGCAGGAAACTTTGGGAAAATCCCTCTAATTTGTATTTTCTGCGCACGCAGATCGCAAGTTCGTCTGCTTCGTTTGCAGGGGGTTGTGAGGCCGTCAGAAAATCGAGCTCTGATTGGCTCTGATTGAAGGACAGTTGATAGAGTGCAAGTTGCGTCAAACCTTCAGATAAGATGCTGCAAATACAGGGCTACTGGTTTACACGTAGAGGAAATCGGGGAATTGCAGAAAGTATAAAAAGATTTGACGCACCAGTAAAAAGATTGAAGCTTCAGTTTTTGACGCTTCGCCGTGTTTGTCAGTCGTAGTTTATACAGAGAGAATCTTGCAGAGTTCGCCATACAATTTCTTAATGAAGAATGTTGCGTTATATTTAGCTAATCCATGCTCTCAGAATAATAAAATGTGGATAAAAGCGCTAAATTAACACCTAGAAAGGGTCATGCATGTTATCATCAATGACTTTAAGGGTTATATATGATGCTAATTAGTGAGTGTCACGAATTTTTGACAACTTTGTCACTGGCGAAAGGATACATTGAGAGCTTACGCAGTGTCTAGCGTGTAATATAGGCTCAAATATAATATATACTTTTTTAGGCATTTGCTATTTTAAAATGTTTTCCCGTAAATATTCACGGATTCTCCTTTCTTTGTGCAGACAAAAACAACAATCACAACCGATACAAGCAAATGCTAAACTGTATATTATCTGCTTACGAGACACAATCCTTACCCTTTCTAAATCAGGTAAGATACCCATGGCGGCTCTAATGAAGCATATAATAGTGAAACGACTGGTTTGCTCGATTCTTAAAAAAACTCCAATGTTGACTTTCCCTCAACATTTTTTTTTCTTTTATCAGAAAATTCAACGAGACGAGTTTTCTGTCCTAAATGATATCGTGGCGAATCATCTTGCGCTGGACCCATATATGAAGGTAGGAGAAAGCTGTGTCTTCAATTATCGGAAAATATGTTATTATACATAATCACTAGCTACTAAAGGACGCGCGGCGTGAAAAGTCCCCAGCATCGCATTATAGTTCATCGCTCAGCAGCCAATGGGATCGTAGCATATGAGCCGATAAGAACGCTGAAGAACCAATCAGGAAGCGAGAAAGGTGAATTAACATAAGAAGCCCCGCCCCGCCTATCTTTAGCTGCCAGTGGCTATACTATAAATATGTGTTTATAGAGCGCCTATATCTCATCATGAACAATAAAAAAAAATATCTAAATACCATCCTCGGAACCATAGTAAAAAACAAATTACAGTCAAAAGTAATTAAGTAAGTAAAATTTATTTTCTTTACGTTAGATTTATTTGATTCGAAACAGTTATTTGGTTTAAATCAAATTAATCTGAGTAGAACCCCCGTAGACATAAAATTGCGCTTCTTAATCGTTAAATGCAGTTTTAAAGGTGACATATTGATTGATAAATCCGTCCAATAACTGAAAACATTTTGCGGAAGAAAGTATTATAGTGTAAAATCGAAATGCAGTTAAATTTTTTAGTTAGTGAAAACTTTGTTGTTGTTGTTGTTGTTGTTTTTTTGTAACAAGGCTTTATTTGCTGCTTCTTTTTGCCTTCTGATACTCTTGCAGCAGGTATTACTTTTCTAGGATTAGTTTTCTTTCTTTTTCGCGTTTTTGTTTGCTTCCAATAGGACGTTACGTAACAAACGAACGAAGTGGAGCATAGAAATTAAGAAACTCAACATTCCGATTTGCTCACAGGACCACTGCCTTGTGCTCATGTTCAGCCTGACATAAATTTTTTTTTTTTGCTCGCTGATTCGTCCATTTAAATGCACAACAAATGGAAATGGAAAGCATCAGACGGCATAGCAACGCACACTAAAATAGGTTTTGGGGTAATTTTTTTGCGAAAAAGGTTCGATGTATGTCATCACAACAAAACCAGTCTGATTTATTAAATCCCAATTTATATCTTCTCGAATTCGATTCTCCACCCTGCTAGGGACAGATCAAACGCACCCAGCTGTCCCCTTTTCAAAAGTGAGCGCCAAGCTGCTGCACCAACTACCGGAGTTCGCCATTTTTTGCTGACGTAGACTCCGAACTTGTCCGTTGGAACACGATGGTTGCGTCAGAGCAGGGCGAGGACTCGGGTCCAATCACACGCTTCACGCCCAAGGATGGATGGATGAATGTTAATGGCTATACCCTTTGTAACGGGCGGTAGCCTGCGCCACCTAGCCAGTCTGGAAAGCCAAAAAAATGTTACTCGATCAACTTTTGAAAAAAAAAAAAAAAAAAGGTTCAATTCTACGCGTTCTTGTTTGTTTCCGTAAGCACCGAAAGGTGGCAGTTGCTTCTCACAGCAATGTAGCGTTATTCATTTTTTTTTAAAATTTTTCTTTCTGGCTTTTTTGTTAGCTTTTTCTGAACATTACGCGGAGTTTGACGGGAGACCAGCGACTCACGATTCGTGGCTTCAGTCCCTACCTGAGCGAGCACGTGGCCATGTTTTTCTTCGTGGAGGTAAGGCTACAGAGCGCACCGTTTCCAAACACAGTCCCCGAGAGATTAAGAAACACAGAGACCGGCACATCGTATTCGCACTAACGCCAACCAGACTGCCCTCATCGCAGTCCGATTGGGTTTAGAGTGCCGATTAGACACTACGGACTGACTGTACTATAATATCGCTTTTATCCCCAAGGAAACGCAAATATATATATATTTTTTTTTTCTGGCGAAGATGGTTTATTGTTAACCTATATTTATGTTTAATATTAATTGGGATGTACTGAACGTAATTTTTAAAAAGAAATCGCACATTTTTCGGTAATAATTTTCCAATTTGGCTGAAATATGGAACACCGATTCCATATTTTTCTAAACTGCGAGTCAAAATACTGTGCGAAAATAGTGTTTTCTTTGTTTGTTTGTTTTTTTTTCCAAACCCGCGCACTTTATTACCAGCCGCGGATGCCGAGCCGGTAATAGAACCCGTCCGTGACGTAAAGTTTCGTCGCTAGCGAAAAATAGAGGAAAAACTAAAACAAAACAAACAAACAAAAAAAAAAAATAAACATGGGAGTTAGAGTTTCGGTTTACGTATCGTGCTGATCAAAAACTTTTTTTTTTAATTTGCGAGGGGGGGGGGGGGGCGATCTAGAGAGCCAAGAATAACATTTTAGTTTAAGGAGAGCACCGTCTTTGCCTCGGTTGACATAGCTAAATAATCAATACGGACGGAAGAATTGAAGGTAACGTAATAAGGCAGACGAGCTGGTTAGAGTTAAACATTTCTAAAGCCCAAGACGGAGGCTACACAAGGAAGACAAACCCAAGACGTCTCAATCGAATTGAAACTTCTGCATGTCCCCTCTTTGCAGCCTCCGTCTTGGTTTTTAAAAATGTTTACACGGAGGAAGTTCCTGAAAAATTTTATTCAGGATTTTGTCTCCGCCTTTTTAGGACCTTTAAGTATTAGCAACATCCCTCAGTCGTGCCATTACACCATATATAGCCCGAGTGTGCGCCTTGTTTTTATACAAGCCGCAAAACCCGATAAGATATATAGGCGTATTCTGTTGTTCTCAACGTCGAGAGTACCCAGTCATGAGCGAATCGCGAATACCTAAGAATGTTCCCGTTTGTCTTTTAGACATCGTGTGAACCTTACAAGGATCACATTGTGGCACACCAGGACCAAGGTCTGTCGACAATGACCAGGTAATTTTTAAAGTTTATGGACGTTCTAGATGACAGATTTGGATAGTCCTCATTACGAATGGATGCAACACAACTCGTTATAAATTCCACTTTGACAGTATACCTTTGAAATGTTTCCTTCACTTTTCTCGGGAAGTATTTAAAAGAGTAATCGTAACTCTTTTGGGGTTATTAACAGGCTTGGAACCATTACATTCGTTTTTGCCTCATTCCTTTTCCTGCTTTCCCTTGCACCGTGTCGCTGCTATGCTCATGGCTATACTCACGTGTCACTGCTACGTTTATAGCTATGATCCCGTGTTACTACAGCGTAAATATAATAGGCGACGACCGGTGGTTCTTAGGTTTTCGCCGGCTATATAAGAAAATATGCGTCATAAAAAAACATGCTTCACTGCAGAGTGCAAAACATTTGACACTCTACAGAAGGGAAAACGTTGGTTTTGGTTCTCAATACAAAGAGCACATGGAGCAAACGTCTTGCTATGAAAAAGACAAATCTAATTACCCCACACTGCTTGTTTTGAATATGCGTAAAGCTTTGACTGCTGTAGAATCTGAAGATCATACTGCATTCACTGACAGCTGAACACACAGAGGGCGTGCTAGGCCCCAAACATCTTATTAAAGCATTAAATGTTTTTGAGCACTGCCCCCCGAATCCCAAAGTTTTGTCCATCCATCCGTCCGTGCATTCCCCGCTAAGTTTAGCGGGAAAATTTGTATCAGGAAACCTATACACGAATTCAGTTTCTCAGCTGAACGGGAACCTTGACGTCACGTGACCTGACGGACATACAGACCAACCCTGTTTCCCCTCTAAATTCAGCGGAAAAATTGACGTCATGCGACCTATACACCAATTGTGTTTCCCCGCTAAATTTGGCGGGAAAGTGGCGTCACGTGACGACACCTGACGGGAAATAGATGTCACGTCACCTATACGTCAACTCAGTGTCCCCGCTAAATTTAGCGGGTGAATTCACGTCTTGTGGTCAAAACATCGATTTTGTTTCCCCGCTAAATTTAGCGTGAAATTGACGTCACGTGACCAATACACAGATTAGTTACCTGCTAAATTTACCAAGAAAATTCAATTCTTATCACCTAGACATCAATCCAGTTTCCCCGCTAAATTTAGTCGGGGAAATCGACGTCACGTGCCCTGACGTAACCTTTACATCCATTAAATTTCCCGCTAAATTTAGCGGGAAAATATAGGTCACGTGACACAAATTTCATCACCAATTCTCTCTAATGTTCATGCATTATAGGAACTTGAAGGCAAAGGTCGCTGCAAATTTTATCACAACGCAATCAATGCGATTGCCGTTTTTTGATTGCGCCATTAGCCGTTGAGGACGCCGTTCGAATTAGAGGAAGTTCGAATTACAGGGGCAGCAACAGAGGAACATAAAGGTGAAAAGACAGGCCCCTCGTGTCTTAGGCTTTCAGTGCTCTTAGAAAACAAGGCCATAGCCTGGGAGTTTCTACGTCACGTACTGGAGGCCAGCGCGGGGCGCACAGCTCGGATACGAGTGCCGTGTCAGCGTTCGCCTGGAGCTCGTGCCCAATCAGGAAGGACCCGAGTCCCGGCCGAACGATGACGCAGCACTCCTGTACAATCAGTGCCACGCGATGGCCTCCGGTACGTGACGTAGAAACTTTTTTAAGATTACAGATTTGTAAAAAAAAGACACAAAAAAATGTGAAAGTTTCATTAATGCGGTTTGAGCAGGTGAGTTATTTAACCTTGTGGATATAGTATTGGGATTCTAATCGTAACGATGGGTCGGATAAATAACTAAAATACGTTAATTGAATATGTTATTTGTGAATAATTTTATTATGAAAGCAAATATATTTTTCTAATTCGAGATTTGCTGAGCGTCATCGAAAACCACTATGTCAGTCATTAGTATGAAGACTTGTAGCACCTGGGAAGCACGGTGGAGAGTTATTACTCGTGAGGAAAGAGCAAGGGCACGTGCTCAGCCTTACTAAAAATTACTGATTTAGTTGTTTTCGATGACGCTGAGCAAGTCTCTAATTAAAACCACATGCCTTAATTAAACGTTAATGAACACATTTTAGTTAATTAGCCGACCGATCGTGACGATTAGCCCCTATATTATGTCACGCTGTCCGTTATACTCACCTGCAAAAATTGCAACAGTCTAGCTTTCACTTTCTTTTTTTTTTTTAAATAAATCTGTTAAGATTAATAGGAAATACGTACCCCGTACACGCTGGGCGGTTAAGTTCATCATGCGAGTCACAAGACTAGGGTAGTCCCTTGTGATTTCGGCTAATGATTCTCCGCATCTTATCTGTTTGTCTAGGATAAACGGCGCCATTTCTCAGTACCCACCATTCTCGGTCCTGTTCTCCTGTCGAAACGGCAGCCCGATGGCTAAGACCCCTGCGTCTTGTACCTCGAAAATAAATCTAGGAGACATTGAATGACAGACGACATCTTTGATTCTTCCATACGTCCAAATGTGCTCGTGCATTCTAGAGATCTGGGGCCTTACGCTACACCAACGTCGTCTGCTGCGATTGGTCAGCGCCTCGCCGCCGACCAATCGCAGCAGACGGCGTTCACCCGGTCCCGCCGTGTAGCAGTGTGCCTGGAGTGTCTACTTTCCTGCAAAGCACCTAGGAGAGCCAATCGTTGCTCGACCAATCGGGAGGCTGAGAAAACAATCGTGGAAACCTATTGTCGCCGACAACGAAAGAAACGCTGAACGGGTCTTATTATGCTCGTTCTTCCTGCTTTGTGATTGGCAGTTCGACATACCGGCCAATCCTGTAATTTGACTGGCTGCGGAGTTGTAATGAGATTCTCGGGAGTTGCCACGCCCCACGTTCCTTAAGTTGTCAACGACTATACAAATAAAAGTACAAAGACCATCCGTGGAAAAAAAAGAAGTTATTTATTTACAGGAAGTCGCCAAGAAGAACGATTTTCAAACGGAGTATGTACTAAACTCCTAAACAAACCCTTCCCAAGGTTTCACAGACAACGCTTTGAGAAACACTGCGAGCATGAAAACATGGCTCCCCGCGGCCCTCCGCTCTAGAAAAATCCGTTTATTCTCCGTAGATGTTCTCTCTGCAAAAGCGTGCACCGTTCATGGCAACGTACTTTGAACCCGCGTAACACACACATGTACGTTGTTCGACACTGTTAGCGCGAACGCGACATCGGTGCTTAATCGTATTTGGCCTCAAAAGGACCTTGGCGCCGGGCGGGCACCCTTCGAAAGCTGGTTTACACGTTCGGAAATGCTTGCGATTGGAGATGCATAAAACCCAGTTTATAGCATCTTGCGATTGCGTACGACCGTCTGCTCAGCGGTTGTAAGCAGTCACAAGAGGCTTAAAACCTGGTTTTAAGACTCTACGGTCCTAAGCACTCACGAGTGTGTGAGCCAGCCTTGAGGTTGGTGTCCAAACCGATCACTTTCAACCACACTAGAGGTCGTGATCACAAGCTTCTTACTTAAAAAAAAAAAAAATACGCGCGTCGATTTCTTGTTTGCGTTTACAGTTTCACGCTCTGTACGAGATCTATAAACTGGCTGACGATATAGCTCTTCGGTTGGGTCCCAGTGCAGTTGGATATATGAATACCGTGGCTGTCCAAATAGACTAGCTATACTTTGATTCCACTTAGGTCCAGACGCAGTCGACGCCACGAGATGATGGAACCAATCGGACAGCGTATAAAGCTCACCATCATGGTTTTCGACATGTTCCTGTACGCGTTCTATCATCCTCAGAAAATGCCTAGGGACTTGCGTGTTTGAAGCCGCTTAATTGGTACTTTTTCCTAGTCGGCTACGTCTCGAGTTAAGCTGAAACGAAGTATACAAATATACCGTGTTGGGTTCCTCTTGGTCATGAGTGGTCCGCAGTGATTTGGTCCGTGTACCAAAGTAGTCGGTTGCCAAGTTTGTCACTGTTTGTATGCCACGTTTGAGAAGCTCGTATCAACCTAGTTATACAATTATTAACGTACAAACGGCTCACGTGTATGGCGTCTTATGTGTGGGGTGTTTCCATTACAAATGTATAGTAGTCCGGCATAAAAATGGGAAGATAGGAATTTGGCCGCTCCGGTAACGCTTGAAGCCTGACTTGAGTTATAGAGCAACTGTAAGCTCCCATTCATGACATGTTTTCTTCATTTTTTTTTACGGAGCCTTGTTTATCTTGTTACATTTTCAAGTTGCTTTACGACTTTCACCTTTTAAATATTTGTTTTCAACGGCCCAGTTCTAGAGAAATTGATGCCAGACTGCGTGCTAGGTTTCTGAAAACATTGTAAGAACCTGATTAGTGTTAGTAATATCAATAGGTATTATTACCAAATGCTGAGGCTCGTCCCTGATACCCCCGCTGATATTTTCAGTCGATAAGCAGCTGATTTCAACCTTACAAATTTGTGCCGAGTGTCTCGAGATAATCTGAGGCCAGCAAATAGGTGTAGCCTAAAATTGCGTCGGTCAGGAGATATGGAGTGCAGTAATCTCCTTTACTATATTGGGTATACTCTTAAGAAAAAATATTTTTATCGCGTCTTTTTAAACACGAGCACACAGCTATGTCAAGAGTGAAATCACAGTGGTAGTCTATTGATAGTCTTGGTTCGGAAAAAGGTATAGGTGTTTGTTTGTTACAACAACAACAAAAAAGAGTAAATAACATTTAGCATTGTGAAAAACACTAATTTCGGTTACATGCGAAGACCTATAAAAAGAAACGTCCTCTTTTTTTTTTCCTATCATTTCAGTCAGGAACTCTGAAGTTCATTAATCTTTTATTGTGTAGAGTTTTGTATGACGGGAACCCCGAGCGGTTTGTAGTGCCGTAGATTGTGAAGAAGGAGTGAGTCATTACAAAAACGCAGGATCGAGGTCTTTTTTATTTTATTTTGTAGTGAATTAAATTCACCAGCCTACCTGTCGTTTTTTTTTTCTTTTTTTTTAGGAGATGAGTGTTTTATGAGGCACTGGATGGAAAGATGTTTTCTCGAACACTAAGTATAATGTTGAGTTATGATTGATAGTGCAATTAAATGCAAAGGTGCAAGCGAGCTGGACAAGAATGACGAAGATAATCCCTGGAGAAGGGGAACAAGAGGGACAAAGGACAAACACGGATTTCCAAACAATCTGCAGTGTTTGGAGATTCGCGGTTCTCCTTTGTCCCTCTTGTTCCCCTTCTCCAGGGATTATTTTTGTCATGTTAAGTTAAAGGGTACGTTTTTTGTTTTGTTTTTTATTTGTTACAAAGTAAACGGGGAAAGTATGAATGAAACCATAGCGCAACTTAACTGACTTGAAAACTTCGGCAGATAAACAATGTTGCACAAAATACTTAGGCTTGATAGTTTTTCCGACTGTTGCAGTTTATCGGATTCTTCATTTTAAAATTAGATTTTGGTTGCGCCATGATTTGATTTTTTATTTGAATTTCGGTGTTGTTGAAGTTTGAAACTTAAAAAAAATTCCTTTGGTGTAGAATGCAGCATTTTAGCTTCGTACAGTTGCAGGTGTGTTTTGAAAAAGTGAAATTCGGTTTACCATGTCAGTTCGTAACCATAACTGCTATTGAACTTTTCCAAGTCAGAGTGTCACGTATGAAAGTTCACGTTTTCACTAAACTGTTTTCGTCCTTGTGTATTTCACAGGTGTGGGGAAAAAAACTGGCGCATTCATACACGAGTGCGAAAATAACTTCAGTAAAAAGGCAGAAATGTTAACCGGCCCCTTGTGTATGATGATAGTCTTACATTTATGCTATTACAAGGTATAGACAGATTTGACTTTATAACGTATAATCTACAAAAATCAAATACTTGCCTAGTTTTTTTTTGTTTTTTTACTTGTTGAGATTTCAGTGACCCCGGTAAGATGCTTAAAGGCCCTTCCCAAAAAGAATCGTTCGGTTATTTCAACCAAAAAAAAAAAAAAAACTATATAAAACCAAATATTTGTAAAGTTAAAGAACTTAGTGATATAGGGGAAGTATGGCACTTTCTTGTTGATGAAAGCAAACAGAATATGTGAGTCAGCTAGCATTTCTTAAACGTGCACTGCAAATCCCACCCCTGATGCAATTTCCGAATCAAATACACAAGTTTTCTTGAACATTTTCTATGAAAGTGTAGCCTTTGATGCAAATACGTTCTCGTTTCCAGGTGTGTCGTCGACATTTGGTTGATTCTAGGTCTACTGTTCTAGTCCTTGTAAACTTTGTCTTAGCAATACAACTTGGTCCCGGGCGCAATGGTTTGGAAGCCTATCGAATGTAATGGTAGAAAAATGTTTGAACAGCAACAGAGGCTTTATTACATGACGTTTCGGGAAGAGACTTCCTTTCTTCAAGTGTGCCACACTTGAAGAAGGGAAGCCTCTTCCAGAAACGTCGTGTAATAAGGCCTCTAATGCTGTTCAAACATTTTTCTACATTTACGACTTTCTTTGTGAAGACTCGTTCATTAATATAGTGAATGTAATGTTCTCAGCGTAAATATTTGTGTTTTACATTTATATTGGTGAAGATAATAGGTGGACACAATAACCCAAATGCTGTTATTATTTTCATGTGTCACGTTATTAAAAAAAAAATTACGTAGACTAGCTACACGCCGTATATGTTGAAGATCCAGAAAACGATGTGGACGTATTCTTTTCAGTTAATGAAACTTTCGGCTGAGGTAGCAGATAAGTATGAAACCAAGATGATGCGAGTCTAATACTTTTTGCAAAGAAGAAAAAGAAAATATATATTTTGTGGTCAAAGATTGGGAACAAAATATCACTTTTGCAAATTTTAGGAAAACTTTTTTTTTCACACGATCGATTTAATTTCGCTTTGCGCAAGAGTAAATCGATCATCGGATTGATATAATCTCGCGCGCGCGAACCTGCAGCTTTCACGGCAGATTGCAGCGCGCAAGCTTTCTAACAAAAAAGTAAGATTTTAACAGCGGCTGGAGGTCTAAACGCGAATCCGCGAAGGTGTCGCTTCAAAAACATGCGATGAAAAAAAAAATCGCTAATAGATTTGCGTTGTTCATCTGTTTCCGCACATCGTAACTAAAACCTCTTTCATAAAAAAAAATTAAAAAAAAAAAGAACTGCCCACGCACAACTGCGTCGTCACACTCACAGCTGTCCAATCACGTGTCTCCAAACCGGTTTCCTAAAACGTTCGAACGTACGGCGGGCCGGTTAGGAAAAAGAGTAGGGGCCCGCTCACACTCTTGCGACCGAATAAGACCGAGAGTGACCAGACCGGTTTTTAAGCCTCTTGCGATCTCTTAGGACCAGATGCGCTGCAGAGGAGCTGGTCCTAAGAGATCGCAGGAGGCTTAAAAACCGGTCTGGTTTCTCTCGGTCTTACTCGGTCGCAAGAGTGTGAACGGGCCTTAAAGGGCGATTCGCACACTTGCGTTGAGTTCGACCGACTGCGACGATTGCTATGGCAACAGCTGCGTCCACAAGACCGTGTTTTCCCGCGTTTTGTTGGAGTGGACGTTGTTATAGCAACCCGAGCACTCTGTCGGACTCAACGCACGTGCGTGAATTGCCCTTTAGGGTTAACTGACAACAGTTACTCCATCAACAAAAAACAAAAGTGCTTACAAACCGAAAGAGAGCAACAGTCTCACAAAATTCTTCGTTGAGTGGGAGGTAAACATGCACGTGGCGGCAATGGACATCATTGCTCTAGTTTGTTACAGGCTAAGAAGAGCGGCGCGAGCCCCGCCCACAAAGTTCTTATCAACGTGCACATTGGTGGCTTCTTTCTCTCCACTCTCCACCTCTCCAGTGTTCGCTCCGGTAAAGTCGAAAGAGCGACGGGCTTTGTGGGAGGAGCTTGGTGGGCTTTGTGGGTGGAGCCTTTCCTGCCTTTCTTAGCCTTAACATACTATAGGGCGGTTCCATGAAACGCCTTCTTTAGTTTTTGCAAGTCGCGTCCCGCCGTGTCGATGAACGCCGTCCATCGCTTTCCCTGTTAGCTTGCACGCAGGTGATTCATTATGGGCGCTCTCTTTGGAACTGAGTAAATATACGAGTAAGTACGACCGGGGAAGTATTTGAGCCCTAGAAACTCCAGCTTACTTTTTTTTTTGAAGGATTAGTTTTTCAGTATGTTCAGGTCACTTTGAGGTATGTTTCTTGCCGTTTAGTTTCCCGCTACCTTCAGCAGGGAAAATGACGTGGCATCACTCGTTGTCCCGTGTGCGACGTACAAATTCATTTTCCCCGCTAGATCTAGCTGAAAAATTGATGTCACATGACCTTCAGCAATTCAGTTTCCCCACTAAATTTAGCGGGGAAAATAACGTTACATGGTTTGATGCCACGTCACATATACACAAATTCATTTTTCCAGCTATATTTAGCGGGATAATTGACGTCACGTGACCTCAACGCCAATCCAGTTTTCCCGCTAAATTTAGCGGAAAAATGACTTCACATGGTTGACTCTACGTGGCTTCCGTTTCGCTCGTGACGCTTTGTGACCTTCGTCCATGTCGTTCTGTGTTTGTCCCTTGTCCGTATCCCCAGTCTCGGGTTTACAACTATGCTCAAATATACACAAATTCCGTTTACCCGCTAAATCTAGCGGGAAAATCGACACGTGACCGCACGCGGTTCTTTCAATTATGTCTGCAGCTAATCGCTTAATTGGAAAACAAGATAGTTGGTTCCTGCCACATTTTCTTCTCTCGAATCGCCCCGGCATTATCTACTAGGGCCTTTTTTATCTGCCGACGGGTTGACTTCTCGGTCCCCGGCTCTTCGAAAGTCCAAATGAAGATCGGTATGAATAAAAATCGAGTACAAGCCTGTGCTCTTTTATGTGCCTGACTAGTCTGGCTAACGCGGTCGATCACGACGAGAAATAAGTCGAGCGAGATGGTAAACACTGCCTCCGCCCATAGGAAGACATGGGGCGAAAGTTAACAACATGGCGGTCGACCATAGTTCAAACCCTGAAGTGCTTCACGTGGAACCGCCCTACAGGTGACGTTGCAGTTCAAGATTTCCGCGTAACGAAAGGATGAGTGGGGTGATCCAACGAGGAAATGGTGATGTCTTGGAGGGAAGGGTGATTCCTTGAAGGGCGGGTGACTCGGTCTTTGCTCTTCAAGAAAGAGTATCTCAAATATTGTACTCTGGTCCGTGTTCTCCTTTGTGGTCGCTTGTGATGAGTTCAAGCATTGCGAGCACCCTGTCCACTTTGCGATCCAGGGTAAGTAGCTTAAGGGAAACAGCGAGAAAAAATAAATTAAGTGTCTTAATCCTACCGATAAACATTCCTAACATGCGTGAGATTCTCTCCTTCAGTGCCAGAATGAAAAGCGAATGTGTATAATATGAACGATTGGGTAGTTGGTAGTTCCTTCCTAAAAAACAATGCACAAACAGAGCAATCACACGGTCAGAGTTAAAGAAGGCAGAAAGACAACCACGCAGACTTCAACTAAGTTTTATTAATTGGTTCAGACATAGAGCATAAATACTACGTCACAACCAAAGAAATCAGGAAAAGAAAACATGCAAAAGAGTTAGGACAAATACACCGAAAGTCTTTCCCCGACTCGCTGAGTTGTGACAGGTGTAGTATTTATATTGGATGTCAGGACTATTAAAGTTTTGTTGTAAGTCAGAGCTGTTTTCTGTCTGCTTCCTTTTACTCTGTCCGTGTTTTTGTGCTGCTCGGACGTTAAAAAACAAAGGTAAGTAAGCTCTGCGTATTTTTAATCAACTCATACGATCAAAAGTACTTTATGAAACGTTCAAAATTTTATTAAGGTAACTAACACCAATATACCCAACAAAGGTATTAAATAGGTGTAGGAAGGAATCACGTCAAGATGATTTTTAACTAACCTCTAAATTATAAAGTTACAAGAACTTTATCTGTTTTAGGGTTCCATATACAAAATTGTATTATTTTACCGTCGATCACGTTTGATGTGAGCCAAAAAATGACAGCTGTCTACACTCTATAAAAAAGAAAAAAAAAGAAAAAAGGCCTGCGAGTTAACTTTTCTGCAAAACACAAGAGAACGCATCCCGGCAAACAGTGGCAGCATATCCTAGCGAATGGCGAAGTTCAGAATACGATTACACACACAGAACGCGCGCGCGCACGCACACACAAAAGCACACAGACATGCACACACATACACAGTCACACACAAAAGTTAAATAAGCGTAGGAACAATTTGAGCATGGCGTTTCACTTGCTAATTATTCCTGTGCACATCGCATAAATATAGGGTGGTTCAAGTCACAAGGCTCGATCTAAAATGGACCATGAAAATCGACGCCTGCACGTAGCAATCTAAACTTTTCGTCAAAGGTGTAAATCACAGGTCGGTTTTTTCTTGTAAAATTACAAAGCGTAGCTCTCTTTTTGTAAAAAATAAGGCCAAGGAACTTGCCAGGGGTCTACGGCGGGCAGCAACGCAGACGACAGGGGTCCAGTAGTGGGGTGTGTTTGGCGTTCGTATTGATAGATGGCGCTACCTCCTTATCGCGACGGCTCGCGACCACCGTGGTTTAATAAAATGAATATAATCTTTTTTGAAATGTACCTTCGGTTAAAAAATAAATCCGAACAATAAAAGCCAAACTTAATGTAAAAAAAAAAAAAAACGCGTCTGCATAACGGCGGCGCTTTTGCTGCCAACGGATTTCGTCTGCTTGAGGTCTGCTATCTTTCGCTAGTGGGCTGCACCTTCAGACGCTGCTCCTGACGCCATCTATCAATACAAACGCCAAACACACCCCGCTACTGGACTTGGTCGGCTGCGTCGCTGCCCGCCGTAGACCCTGGCAAGTTGCTTGGCTCGAATTTTTACTAAAAGAGAACTACGCTTTGTAATTTTACAAGAAAAAACCGACCTGTGAAATACGCGTTTGACGAAAAGTCTAGATGGTTGCGTGCAGGCGTCGATTTTTGCGGTCCATTTTAGATCGAGCATGGTGACTTGAACCACCCTAAGCGCAGTGCCCTCGTTAAACCACAAGACTGAAAAAAAGATATCACAAGAGGGCGAAGACAGAAAAGAACCTTGAGACTATATATATATATATATATATATATATATATATATATATATATATATATATACACACACAGGGTGTCAGAAAAGAAAATTTACACGGTGTTTTTTACCGCAAAAATAAGACTACGCATCGCCGAACGCTCATTCTCCGCCCAAAGGTAGAGCTAGAGGTCACAACCAGATGCCAAAGTTTCAGCCCGATCTGATGACTTAATCAAAAGTTATAAGTTATTTTCTGAAAATTTCGATGGGAAAATGGCGGTCGACGGAGTTTTCAAACACATGGGGCTCTATGGCACCAGAAACCGAAAAGGGGCAAAAATGGGCTCCATTTTCCCATTGAAATTTTCAGATAATGACTTATAACTTTTGATTAAGTTATCGGATCGGGCTGAAACTTTGGCATCTGGTTGTGACCTCTAGCTCTACCTTTGGGCGGAGAATGAGCGTTCGGCGATGCCTAGTTTATTTTTGCGGTAAAAAACACCGTGTAAATTTTCTTTCGTGACACCCTGTATATGGTGTAGTGGTTAGCACACCCGACCGGACATTGGGAGGCCCAGAGTTCATATCCTGGCTCCGCCAATTTTTGGCTTTCGGCGGGTTCCTGGAAACTTTGATTCTTTGATTCATCGGATTAAGTACGGTTCATTCATCTGCACATATTTGTTCATATATATATATATATATATATATTTTCAATTTGAATAGGTTTTTTTTTTTAAAGTCTACCGAGCAACAATGGCAGTCGTCATTTCTCGTCGAAGTGTATGATCAGATCCGAGTCCTCACCGAACGCCGACGCCGACCTCCTGTCCAATACATGCTTAGAGTACGTGACCAAACAATGGCGATCTATGGTAATTGGCCTAGCAACTGCTAGATGGCGCGCGCTCCTCAAAAGTGTCTATTGTATTATCAGCTCTGCAATTTGCTCAGGACTTCCTATTGTTCGCCGTGATTCACTGCATCTGTGTTCTTCTGGAAAGGGAACTAACACACTCTTTTGTGTGTGTGCGTGTACAGTCAGTGAAATTTGAAATACCTGGACCTCCATCCTGTGTAGTCTCGCGCCGACGGTCATTGGCTTAACGCCCTTTTCGTTCAGGTAGGATCCCGGCTTGCCAAGGGTCTGGTCCAGCCTGCGGAAATGTAGGGCTTTCATATGTGGAATAGCACTGTAGAGTGCCTGGAACGCGTCTTTGACTGGTGTGCCTTTCGCGTTCTATACAGTAGTCCATGCATCAGAAGTGATCCCGAAATTAGAAGCAGCTGACGTCACGGGAACCGGCGTGGCGTGCTCTCAATCGTCGCCATTCTTAAAATTATTCCTAGAAATTCTGGCAAAAAGGAGAAACAAGTGCGAGCGAGCGTTAGTGCTTTTGGCCTGGGTCGCCATAGCGAACCACATAGTGACTAGAAAGACGCGAGGAGCAGGCCGCGTCTCTTTCGAACGCTCAGCCAGCACGCGCTCGTCGCCTTCAGTAGCGCTTTGGCTGCGCGTGCATGCTCGAAGCTCACGGGGCACCCCAAGTGTTATCCGACCATCTGGCCGCAAGCAATCAAGAGCTCTCTTAACGTACTCAATCGTACCCCCCCCCCCCCTCCCAGAAATAAAAAAAGAGCCTAAAACTGCTGTGATTGTCCTTAAATTTCATGCGATGACCAGCCCTAAATCGCTGTAATTGGCCCTCGAGATGTTGTGTAGCAAAGTGTTGTCATGCAGATGGTGTTTTTAAAGTAGCCATGAGGTTGTTGTTGGGATGTTTATCCAGCTACTCGCCTTCTTTGGAGCTCCTTGATGCGCACCATCATGTTGACATGGCCCTGAGAATACTGCTCGATGACGTCACGGACGTCGTAAGGCTTTCGAGCTTGCTGTCGGGGAGAGAGATGTAATGACAATAAGACTGTCCGCATATAGTGTGTCTATATTTGGGTCAGTTTAATCGAATTGAGTTTGGATTTTGTAAGCATTACATCGATGAACCAGTATATTAGTCTGTTCAGCTAAAGAACAAGTGCAGCAAAAAAGCACTTGCGTGTAGCATACCCATGATTGATGTACATTGCATGTAACCATAACCTTCAAGCATTGCGTGCTGTCGTCTTCGTTTAAAGGTATTTTCTCTTAATGGTCTAGCCGCTATAATTTGTACTAAGAGTAATAAAACAGCATTTTCAGATATGCCTCATCCCCGAGGGAAATTATGCCCTGCCAAAAATGGGCTCCCGGTGATTTGTCTACTTGCCTGAAACTTCCGCCGGGCCACGAAATATTTGATTTTTCGTATCCCACGTATTGCATTTTTGTGGGCCTCAGTCAAACTGCGCACGAAGAAATGAGAAGAAAGCATAGAGCCGTTATTTTCTTTTTTTTTCAGAGTTACAATTATTATAATTTTACTTAACATTTTAATGTGATTATACGTATTAATACTGCGAGTTGGGCTACTTGGTGATAATCCATACTGGGGATTAGGCCTAAGGAAAACGAGCATAAAAACATGAGAGGCACACAGGACAGGGCGCAACTTTCAACTAAAATTTATTAGAATAGGCATTTAAAAAAAGTAAAAAAAAAAGCTGTACATGCGCGAAGAGGGTATACTTAGATAATAAATTTCTGTTAAACTTGGATAATAAATTTGAGTGGAAAGTTACGCCCTGCCTTGCGTGCCACTCATGTTTTGTCCTCGTTTCTTTTTAGCGTAATCCATAGTATGATTATGCGTATTACGCACACTACAAACACATCGTTTGCTTTGAATTAAGAAGGAGCCAGTCTTACCAGAAAAAAACTTCGACCTGGGAATAAAAAAAGAAAGCATCCAACCTAAACTCACGTATTCGACTGCGCGTCTGGAGGCGATTCAAATGATTAACGAGTGCATAAACTCCATAACGTCTACTAAACGAGTTTAGCGTTCAATTATACTTTCATATAGTTTGTCTGCTTACGAACTGGTAATACCTGACGATCTCGGTCTAGCTTTAGCCCACGATGGGGTCAGACTTCGGCATATTGTGCACAAATGTTTACTTTAGCCTGTTAAGATTTGGACTCTCATGAGGCGTTCGTTCATTCAGTCACTACTGAGTGATGCGGGTAAAAGTATCCAGGTTAGCAGCAGTCATACTGACTATTAAGTAAGTCATTTTACAGCGGAGACACAAGATTTAGTTTCAAGACAAACCGACGATCCGTTTTATGACCATAAAACATTAAAAAAAACTTATTCGTATAATTTTCGCACAAAAGGTTCAGTCTAATTTTAAAAAAAACACAAAAAACAAAGACGAAATATTAAAGAAAAAAACTGGCATGTCCATAACATAAATACATAATAGAATTTCTGTCCCGCAACTATTTTTGTGCTCAAACAAGGAAAACAAAAAAGCTCTCACCTGGTTACTTGAGGCGACTCGTCAACGTCTATCTCGACGTAGTCGTCTTTTGGATCGTTGCAGTTCGAGTTCGGAGCCATGAACGTTTTGCGTCTTTGTCCTGCGTATTCAGTAAACCAATAGAGAGTTTTAGTAGATCGTTCCGATACCTCCGATAGCCCCGATAACGATACTATGCATGCGCAAGGGAGGCGGTGGCGGAGTATCGGGTATCGTTATCGGAATCATGGGAACGATCTACTAAAACTCTCTAATAAGAGGGATATTCAAGCATCCACATGGCTGAAATTGTTTTCTCACAAAGTAGCGTCGTGTTTTTGTATCACACGATCGTCAACCAGACAGCATATACCTGATGTGAGCCGAACCTGTGTTCTCCCAGTAAACTTTCAATCGGGCATCTCGGAGATATTAGAGAGTTTTAGTAGATCGTTCCCATGACTCCGATAACGATACCCGATACTCCGCCACCGCCTCTCTTGCGCATGCATAGTATCGTTATCGGGGCTATCGGAGGTATCGGAACGATCTACTAAAACTCTCTATTAGAGAGTTTTAGTAGATCGTTCCCATGACTCCGATAACGATACCCGATACTCCGCCACCGCCTCTCTTGCGCATGCATAGTATCGTTATCGGAGGTATCGGAACGATCTACTAAAACTCTCTATTAGAGAGTTTTAGTAGATCGTTCCCATGACTCCGATAACGATACCCGATACTCCGCCACCGCCTCTCTTGCGCATGCATAGTATCGTTATCGGGGCTATCGGAGGTATCGGAACGATACCCGATACTCCGCCACCGCCTCTCTTGCGCATGCATAGTATCGTTATCGGGGCTATCGGAGGTATCGGAACGATCTACTAAAACTCTCTATTTGCGGTATACGGAGAGTAAGCTGTCCGCTCCTTGCGCAGGAGTTACGCTGACGTCAGATTGGCGCCGAGCTCTGATTGATATTGATTGGAAGGATAGTGGTTAGGCCTCAGTGCAAGATGCCTCAAAGTATACCACCTATTTTGTTTTTGTACAATGAGTTAATATGAGTTAGGAGTTCTGACATCATTATAATTCCTGTTCAAGAAGCAAGCGAACTTTCGCTCCGCATAGTTTTAGTATAGTCCTCAAGTATGTGCCTATATTTATTGACAGCAAAAAAAAGAAAGGAAACGCAGGGCTGGACACATGAAGTTCGCGATTTTTGCTTCACTATCTGTTTTTAGGCCTTCGAGTGTTATTTTAGCGAAGGCAGGTCGATCCAATTTACACGTCGAGTGAGCGTTGCGTCGAGTGTGCAGCTCATGTTTTGCGAAGGTCTCCTAGTGACCGAACAGTCAGTAGCATATAGAAGACAAGCCGTGCGCATGACGACCTCATCGTGTCTCGATCCCCGACCCACCCAAAAGCGGGAAACACGCTAGAGCTCGACCGGAGTGGCCGCAAAACAGCAGATCCGTTTGTCTTAGCGTCTCCACGTGCTGCCTTTGCGTTTGTTGTGAGACTCTACAAGACGCTCTAGCGGCATGCTGTCGCAAAACAGGTGGCGCTAGTGCCGACGCTTGGGGGAGTCGCGCAGACCTTGTTTGTCTGCTAGCGGGTATAGGCACAGTCCGAATCCAGCGCACAACGCCTCACCCAGCTTCCCGCTGTCTTCAGCCTGGGAGTCCCCTTCCGTTTCGTTGGCCGTCATCGTGGCCGTGCAGTTGGGCACGTCGATCTTTTGCTTGGACTTGCGTCTTCGCAGCACGCTCGCTCTTTTCGCTACCTGCGAGAGAAACCAGAAAAATATCTCAGAACTACAATCCTGTAATATATCGCCAAGGCTTCTCTACGCAGAGCCGCACAATTTGGACGCCGTTTATACGAACGCTCTACACTCCATGCATCCTGAAGCCGGGGTCACAATGCTCATACAGCATGCAAAAGACAGTCTGCAAACATGAGTCACTGCAATATTCGTGGCTGGAATGCCACGTGTCAAGTATTCTCTTTGTACTCGTTGCCAAGCGGCATTCGAAGCCCGGACCTCGCTGTGACTCCCGTTCGAATCTGCATGCATACTGTATTTTGTATGATGTATAAGCTGTGTGACCCCGACTTGAAGCTGAGACTGCAGCCAATGCCACAAGCACGAGAGTTCGAGATCGCTGTTCTAAAGCGTTCTTCCGCAGAACGAGTATGCGCGCTAGGAATGCGCGTCTCAAAGAGTAGAAATACTTGCAGTTGAAAACGAGCGTGTTGGTTAATAGATACAAACTTGAAAGAATAAAACAGAGAGGACGAGGACGGGAACAGGACATCTTTCATTTAGCAACAACATAGAATGGCACAACGATAAAACCGACCCCCAACGTTGAGACCCTTGGGGGGCGGTTTTATCGTTGTGCCATTCTATGTTGTTGCTAAATGAAAGATGTCCTGTTCCCGTCCTCGTCCTCTCTGTTTTATTCTTTCAAGTTTGTATGTAGTAGAAATACCCGTCTGTACCCAGCAATGTCAAGTCTTGCGAGCTATATATTCCTCCCATGCATCGTCATTGGTCCCGAAATGGCAACAAATGACGTATTAGGAGTCGGAATGTTAAGCCATTGCCTCCTCTATTAAGAACTGAGAGCCTTTTCGACAGCTGGACGCTGAGGCTTCGCTAGACTACCAGGTACTGATACATTAAAGTCGCCGACAATGATCACATTAAAGTTGACGGAGTCAAGTTTTTTCAATAAACTTGTCGAAACCTGCCCAATTCATTGAAATCAAGGGATGGGAAGTTATAATTTCCTATAGGAACATTTTCTGGGTCCGCCCGTTTTCACTTCAAGCCAAACAAACACATTCTTCATAACTTTTGATATCCAAGCGGCGAAGTGCCATGTTTTTGCCTAGGGCTATCTAAGTACACCGCCACCTTATTTCTGTCCGGTAGCTCCGTAGTTGCGGTCACGGCGAAATATGGAGTAGTTGTCAGAAAAAAAATTGTAAAGGACACTTAAGACTGTTACGTGTAGGAATGAACATCATAGTCCCGTGGGTGAAATGTTTTTAAATAATCTTTCTGCACGTATTATAGTTGTTTCTGTCGGTATTGTATTTAGTGTGTGTGTTAGCGTATTCGTTGGCACCAGACCGCAAACGTTTGGCCCCTCATGCTGCACAGCGATCAGGTTGACCGAGGTTGCGTGTGGTGGGTAGCATGACGTAGACCTAGTGGTTCAAACTGACCTTTATCCTCGGCCTCTCGTTTTCTAAATTCTCGATCTTTTCGACGCTTCCTACGCATAGCCTCGGCCTCTCGTCCTGCACGTTGCAAACTTGCATGACGAGCACGGCGTGACTTCGGAGACAGGACATTGGTTGCTTTCGCTGCTTGCCTCTTCGCTCGCCTTGCTGCATTGATCCGCTCGTCCCTTGCTTCCTCGGCTGTGGCGTATTTGCGTGAGTGGTTACGTTTGCCTGCGGAAGCCGCCGTAGATGTAGACGCGGTCGCCTCACAGTCCATCGCACGAAGCACACATCGAGCACAGATAAAGTCCGAAGCGCAACTGACGCGCCGGAGACAGCGCGCCATGTCTTCCTTTTGCACACGGCGCTCTGGCGGTGACGTCACGCTCCCCCACTGCGCATGCGCAGCGCCCCCGCCGGCTCCACGGCTTCTCTGACGATGCATCTGCGTTGCTGTGCTTATCTTTGTGTTTTATTTCCGGGGCGCGTCCGCTTTAAGCTTGAGCGGCGCGTGCTTGATATTGTATATATTTATGGCCATCTCTCGGGCACAACACCGACGCCGCTTTTTCCTGTAATGGGACATATAAGGCTTTCGCCCTAATATTCAAAAGATGAGATATGACTTAGTAGCTAGGTTCCTGTAATACAATAGACATCGTAGACTGAAAGCACAGTCCTTTCAGAGAACGTATCGCCCCTTACGTTTTGGTAGTGGATCGATAAAGTTTTGAGCTTCTCCCGTGTCTACATTTGCAAGTTCGTCGGTTTTTAGTATACCTCAAAACTGAAGAAAAAGACACCCCTCAGGCCACGCTAGGGGGACGTTGATACTATCAAACTTTTCGGCACTTAGTGAGACGTGACCAGACGACTATGAAGAAAACTTGCTTGTCATTCTTTGACGAACGTATCGCCCTTCACCACGTCAGCCACAAACTGCTAGATGTCTTCTGCGGTTGTATCTGGGTTCGTCCTTGTTACGAACAATGCTTTCCGGGCTGGACCCCGGGAAACGGTGCTCAGGGTCGTTGACTTGCTGACACCACCACGTATTTCTTCCTCCCGCCGGCGTCGAACTCCATTCCAGTCGCCTTCGGGCTAATTGTGTTCAACAAAGCAGGGACTGACGTTATCCGAGTTCGTTGGAGGCGTAGGGGTAGCAGAAGTGAACTGTCCGGGAGGTCTGTGGTCCTCGTTGCTTATCGTTGGCTTGTCGGCATCCTTGCGACAAACAGATGGCGCTTCATCACTCGCTTTCTTCGTTGTATTATTCGTCACACTGGAACGGCCTGGCCCTGTTGGTTGAATGGTCAACAAAGTGTCGAGTGCTTTCGCAAGGTTTATGTTCACGAGGTCCAAGCGCTTTATGACCAACGAATTATTAATTTCTAGTTTCAGGCTCATTGCAGCGTTTTCGAGCTCCAGAGACGTCACTGCAGCTATCAGCCGGTCAAGTTTCGAAAGCAGCGCGGTCAGAGTAGCAGCCAGATTGGTAGGCTATTCATCTGGATCCATGTAGTGGGCGTAGTCGAGCAGGACGGTAGCACTCTTTCGTTGACTAGGCTTCTTTCAGAGCGTGGACACCTAGTACAGTCAGTATGTTTATAAATGCTGACACCATCACAAAAAACGACGTCGTAATCTTCAGAACGAATGTTGAAGCACTCACCGCAGCACGCGATGGAAGCTTGTCTGGATTAAAGTCACTAGATCCTGGGAACGTAGCGCCTTTGCCTTCCCTACCTGCTTGGCGGACACAAACAGATACTATCATACAGACGACCCAAACCTCGCAAGGCGATGGCCTGTGTACGTTGCAATGAAAATCGCCATTTCGGTCCATTTAAATCTTCGAAGCCTCCAAAGGGTCGTTCCACACCAGTCGCGCCAAGATCATCATGAAGCATCATCGTACTGGAAGCGTTCCTCGCCAATATAAGGGTCCTTGGCACTGTGTATGCAATCAACTTATCAATCATGCCCATCTCGACAGATCTCTTACAATTATATTGTCCTTCATGCGTATTTCAAAACAGCAAACTTATTTTTTAGTACCTCCAAGCACCGACACAGCATGTGGTGGTGGTACGAAGATGTACGCTTGTTTCGCCGGTGTGAGGATAGCAAAATCTCGGTATACAAGAAACGCCTTCATAAAGCTACCCTTCACCAGCCAACTTAGATCGGCTCACCAAGGACGGAGAGGTCAAGGAGAAATTGCTCATTTCACGGACGAAAATGGTGACCATACGGGGAGCTTGGTGATACTTTCCCAGGATCCAGTGATTTTAGTCTGGACGAGATGGGCAGGATGCACTTTGTGGGATTTCCCTTGCTGCTACCCGTCTCGGAGAATGACACAGCACACCGGTTCAACAACACGTACACATTTAACGAGCGCTATCGCCTGCGCCGCGATCCCAACAGCCCCCGCGCATCCGCTGCGACGGCCCTTTATCAGCGGCGGAGCGCCGCTCGCGTGGCCAGTTGCCCTTGGCCCCCTCGTGGTCAAGATGACCACTCATGATTGTCGGAGGGGCAGCCTGGGCCAACCGCTTGGAATCGCCAGGTTGCCCACAACTTAGCGCACACACCCATCCGTTCGGCTCGACTCAGAGTATGTGCTAGTGAGGGAGCTTGAGAGCAGGCAACTGCCCTCATTGAAGGCAAAGCCTGAATGGGTTGGCGTAAGCGCGCTTTCAGAGGCTTGACCATTTTCGGTGAAGCAACGAAAGGACTGCCTATTGTCCTTCCACGATGCTGACGAACGTTGATAAACGCAAATGTCTGGCTCACGCGTTTCCGTAGGTTGCGTACAGAGCGACCTGGGCAGCACGCTGAAGGCGGAGTCGCCGGGACATCTACTCCCTCGCGCCAACCGCTGACAACATGGAATCACGGAAGCGGCAAGAGACGATCCGAAATCGCGAAAGGACCTGTTCCGGCCAGTTCAGTGGTTCCCCCGCTAGATGGCGCCCGATTTTGCTGGAGCAGCATAATCGCTTCATCTATATCTTGCTTTGAAAATGCTAGACATAGCATATTGCTGCATGCGCACCCGAGGGTTTCTAATCTACATGGCGGGACCAAAGGACCGCAACGTCACCTCCTGCTGCTATTGGTCAGTGTTCACCGCAGTCTAATCAGAGCAGGCTGCGATGTTCCGGTTCCTTGTTCCCACCTTGTGGATTGAGGACCGTGATGAACAGATGTGGGACCACAGGAGCTGTGTGCACCGTTCGCGCTCAAAATCTATACAACAGACAGAAAGGCGAGACTATACAATGTAAAGGTAGGTTAAACTTTAGGTGTCTAAATCTCGACATCAAAGCAATAATTGGCTGATTATAACCTACCGCGTTACTATGTTTCCGTGGTGTTATCGAGATGTACCGATTTGTTATCAACACATCGACCCACACACTGTGGCGCGAGAAAAAATAAAAATAAAACGAGGACTACATGGTGTCACGGTCTTCGACGGGTGACGCAAGGTGTCGCTGCTCACCCGACTTAGAGGCGTTCCCGAGTTAAAACCACCGTGGCTCGACTCCTTGATGTGGATCCTCCACGTCGCCTCGCAATGAGACGTCTTCTCCGCAGCGTAGCACCTCCAGAGACACTTAGGGGGGAAAAAATAGTCAGTCACGAATCTGCGTAGTGTTCAAGAACCTTATTTTTCACAACAAGTCAGTAATTTTGAATATGCAGCTTAAAAAATCCGGAACATATGGTTACTTTAGAGGTATGTACAAATGTTCACACTGTTAGCGCAAACAAGAAATCACAGGGGATATTTTCCCCCCTTACAATTGAATGATGTCATTAAATAAACTACAACTGTTTCGCCAAGTTATTGTTGGAGTAACTAACCTAAGGGACCTAATTGGAAACCCGCCAATAATTAAAAAAAAAATATATAAAAACAAATGGGGGTGTGAACAGTGCAACTTGAAGCAATATTTTGGATCGTCTGATTTCGAATCTTTGATACTACACTGAGAATCCCGACGAATCACGATTAATTGTTAACTAATAACCGCCTCCCAAAATGATCATTTTTCCTTTGCTTCCTTCGAAAAATCAAGCACTAATTTAAGCCGCAGTGACACTGCTGACAATGCGTGCATGCTAGAGCTACTAAATGAGCTGCGCCTAGAGTAACGGCACTCTGTTCCTCGACATTGTTGTGGGCGCCGCCATTTTTATTCTTGTGCAGAGCAGACGCAACCGCCGATCGTCATGATTCCGAAGTGCGACTTCTTCAGCATTGAATTCCCTTTAGGAAGCTCATGTAATATTGCTTTTCTTTATCGCGAACTGTTGAAACATTTGTTGAGGGCGGAAAAACGTTTCCTGTGGTTTCAGAAAAAGCTTCAGGTAATTGGCAACCATGATTTTAAGCCCCAATATGGCGCCAAGCGTCGTTACTCTGAAGCGTAGCTTATTTAAGACTCGGTGTTTGTTGCAGACGTGATAACATGGTTGCCAGCGGATACGCCTCAAGCAGATTTGAAGGACGTTTGCTCTATGCATATGTACGCTTCAAACATGTCTGGAGAAAGCTTTTTTGTATTACCAAGGTGACATGACGAATGAAAAAAAAAACACACGCCTCAGACTGTGTTCCCAGACAAGTTTTTGTATTACCAGGCTGTATTTGCTACGCAATACACTCGCAAAAATTGTCCCCGCAAAAAAAAAAAAAAATAATAATTCTTTTCTTTTTGAAACCACAATTTGAGAGCCGTTGAAGCACACGCAAGTCCGCGTACACTTTGATCGTCTGCTGTCGTCAGAGACTCCGCTTCGTCGTTGTCGAGCGTGCATAAGACCGATTTGGGGTAAAAATTCCACTCAAGCAGCAGGGCACCGTGTTTGCTCGCTCGGCTACCTGAATGAGAGTAGCGGCAGCCGGGATCTGCCGGTTGAAGTGCTTCTGCCTCTGCTTTTGCTGCACCTTCAATGCGAAACCGGAACCGAGAATACCCTGGAAGCAAGAAAGAAAAGAAGAAAAAACAAGACGAACGGTCTCCTTTGGAGTACCGCCACTTCATTATTTACCCTGCTGCGCCCGCAGCGCGAACCTATACTCTATATCGAGCCCGCATAACCATTTTTGTTTTCTTCTTTCACTTATTCGGGTTTTTGAGCTGCTCATGAAAGCGTTTCCGGGCAGAAATATAATTTCGGTTGAGAACTTTTCAATACGAGTGTAGCGAATGTTGACGAAGCTTCAAAGAAACGATGGATCGAGACACTGCATTCGCGTCTCGTTAATACGAGGTTCCGTTAATAGGGAGAACTCGCTAAATAAAACATATGTTCGTGGACAAACTGAATATGTACATACATTCTTGTCTCGGTCGTATATGGGCAACTCCCATTCTGAACGATGTCTTGGGGAACTGAGGTGTTAATAGTAGAGAGTTTGAGTCGATGGTTTCAATAGAGAGTTTTAGTAGATCGTTCCCATGACTCCGATAACGATACCCGATACTCCGCCACCGCCTCCCTTGCGCATGCATAGTATCGTTATCGGGGCTATCGGAGGTATCGGAACGATCTACTAAAACTCTCTAATACCTCCGACACCCTCGATAACGATACCCTATAACGATACGATGGATGGCACAAAGGAGGCGGCGGAGCGTCGGGTGTCGGTATAAGAGTCCCGTGAACGATCTACTAAAGCTCTCTATTGACGAGAAATACTTCCAGCTTCAGAAAGGCTCGTTATATCTAATCACAAAGCAAAAAGGGTGAAGGTAACAAGGCATATGTCTTGTTTTTTCTATTTATCAGTCTCTATAGTAATATCTTCCGCGTGCAATAAGAAAGTAGACATAAGGGTTTTGTTAATAGGAAGCTTTAGTAGATCGTTCCGACGATTCCGCTAATGAAATCTTATACTCCGCCGCCGCCCTTGAGCATGCATCGTATTGTTATCGGGTATAGTTATCGGAGGTATCGGAACAATCTACTAATCTTGTCAAAACTGGAGCTCGGTCGAGTTGGTCGAACATAGCAGCGATTTCATAACGTACACATAGCAGACACACACTAGTATTCAAGACAAAACACAACATACATACCGCTCTGTCATCATCAGTCATCAGCGCGGTGTGTATGTTGTGTTTTGTCTTGGATACTAAGAGTGTGTCTGCTCTCTGTGCGTTGTGAGGTCGGTAACAAGAACTACTAAAACTCTCTAATAGGAGGGTTCGAGTGAATCACTCCGAATACTCCGATAACGGTGCCCGATAACGATACAATACGTATATCGAGGGTGCGGACAAAGTATTGCGTATCATTATCGGAGGTATCGGATTGATATACTCAAACTCAAGAACAAAATGCTGCACTGTCTGCCGGAATTGACCGCATTTAGTTCTTTTTTGTTAGGTTTATTAGCACGTTCACGCGAAGGCGTTCTAAGAACCTTCCATTTCCTACGATCGTCTTCCGTTTGCCACGTACACTCGCCGAGAGTTTAAGAAACGAAGGGCGTGACGTGGCTCTCAAATCTCATTATCGCTCCGTATGCCAATCACATTGCGTCTTTAGCCAATGTTGGGTAAAGTGCAACTAAAAAGTACTTGAAGTAAAGTACAAAAGAAATGAGAAATTATGTATACTTCAAGTAAAAGTAGTATTTACACTGGAAGCAATGTATACTTAACGTAAAGTACTATAAATACAATGTACTTCTAATTAAAGTACAAGTACTTTTAAACAAACTTTAATATGCCCTTTCATTCCCCTATACAGTGATTTTTTAACTGGTATGCATTGCGCAGGGGGTAATCGGGGTGCATGACCTATTTTCAAAAACTGCGGCGAATATTTGATAAAACCAAATGGCCAAGAGTAGTCATTCTCAGGAACAGAGCCAAATTCACGAGTCCCGCTTCTGAATTTGGTGGCGCTTGCACTGGTTTGTTGACCGAAAGGGGCTAAATGTACTAGCAGAGGACTTGACATCAGCCCCGTAGGTTCCGCAAGCAATCCTCTCATAGAATAGTGTCCTCTCTTTTATTAAAAAAAGAAAAAAGAACAAACAAACCAAAACAGTGAGTGTGCAAGCGAGCTGGTGGTAATTAATTATAATGTGATATCTGAGATTGGGGTGCAAAAAAATTAAGGAACTTTCAATTCGAATGAATAGAAAAAAAAACAAAAAAAAAAACAGAATGTCTCAAAACATTGTGGCGTTCTCTGTTGTCTTTATCTTCGACTTGAAAAGTTTAATTTTTCCCCACCACAGTCTCAGGTGCTACATTATAATTGAATCTGCCCTCCTAATATTGTAAGTCTCCTCGTTTGCGCTGACCTACCGAGAAATAGCGAGAGTTCAAAAAGCTACTGCAAAGCCGCCCCCAGAACAAACGGAGCGATGCATCGTCTGCTCACGTTTCTGGTGAGAGTAAAATATCTCTCCCAGTATTTCTTCGAAGTTGACGTCGCATCATTTCGTGATACAAATTTAACGAAACCAAATTTGAGGAACCTACTCTGAAGTCGGAAATTGTACTTTCCTCGAAAAGCGCCAGAAAAAAAAACAACAAAAACTTTAAGTAAAGTACAAGCACATACTCAGAGAATCTACTTCAAGTAAAGTACAAGTTTCATAAACCTACTTGAAGTAGTACTGCAAGTACAATGTACTTAAAGTACTTCCCAACACTGTCTTTAGCCGACAGGAACGCCGACGAACGAATCCGCAAAGTAAGAAGCGTGAACCTATATACTAGGCTAGAGGACGCACCACGTGACGACGGAGGACTCACCGCGGGTAGAGCGAAGAACGAGATGGCGAAGACGGAAAAACAGGAGGCCACGATCTTTCCCATCCAGGTCCTCGGAACTGTGTCACCGTACCCTATTGTCGTCACTGTAATCTAAAATTGAAAAAGTAAAAGAAAATGTTAAAAACCAGTGGATGCGTTGCTTAAGCCTTTGATGTCTCCTTCCCACTCCGGCATTGCAAAAGGCGAGCATCGTGGCCATATGTGTATATTGCGGTTCACATAAAAAGCCGCGCTCGCTATACAAATGACGGTGTGCCGACAGTAGAGAGTTTTAGGGAACCGTTTTTGCCCATCCGATGCGGTATGATGGTCCCTTCGGTACGGACTGCGCCTATCTTCTGCAGTAGCGCATGCGCACTGCGTACCGGAGGGCACACCGTGCCGTATCGGATGGGCCCCAAAAACGGTTCCCCCTAAAACTCCCAGCTGGGCGCGTTTCTTCCTTGTACGACGGAGACATTGGTCACACAAAAAACTGACTGCAGACCACATGTTCGAAACATACATGAAACAAATCATTATGCGAACTCGCTCGAGGCGCGTTTAAGCACACTTCCGTCGTTAATAGAGAGTTTTAGCTTACCGCGTACCGGGCGACCGCCGGGGTTACCGCGACCGCGACCATCGAGCCGGTACCGGACCGAGAGCGTAGTGGGTAAAGAACGTTTTAGCATACCGTAACCGCGCCTGACCGCGCCTATGAAAGTTTCTTCTTTCTCCAACGGCTGGAAAAAGTCATGATGATGATAGTGAATACCGGCGTGGTTCGTTTTTAAAGCGGTACATTTATTTGGACAAATGCCGCATAAAAAGCCACTTTTAAAAAATATTTTCCGCATTACGAGTAGTTATAGTGGTCAAGCCAAAAGAAAAAGTGAAATTGGTCGTTGTGTGAATATTTACACAGCGCGAGGTTAGTCTGCCTGAATTTGGCGATACTGTTTCTTCGCTGTAGATGGGCAGTGTGGCCAGTGCGGTACGACCGAAAACCTGGAGTCTTTAACGTGCACCACCAGTCATGGTTATACGAACGCAGCCGGTACGATGCTCGTCCAGATCGAACCGGGCAGGGACGGGGATTTGAACCCAGTGCTCTGAGTTCTGCAGCGCGAGCTTTCGCTACACGTGGTCCGAGCTGTGGTGCGTTAGCCCACTCGGCCACCGTTCTCCCACGAATGCAAGCAGACAGCATCATCCTGTACGCTGCTTGTTTGCATTCGCAGCTCCATTGCCATCAGCACCAGTCTCTAATGTCGGCTAAGTGGCTCAGGTTGCCGCCCGAAACAAGGGGCATAGCAGTTACCATCCATCTATTCAACCGGCCTGTCCGGCGGCCATGGAAGCCCGGATTTTTGCTATGGACCTCGGGTAGGCGAAAGCTTTTATAGGCCAACCAGAGCCGCTTCACTTGCCCTTTCCCATGTTATGTGGTGCGACGATTGTTTCTAGACGCCTCCCCCGCCATTCCAAAACAGTAAGTGATTAGTCTACGCCGGCCGTCGGAGCCGATGCCCGGCAGTCGCCATTGACGGTAAACGCGGTAAACCGAGTAGCGTGGCATAATTGGCGCATGCGCAGTTCTGCAGTGACGGTCGCGGTAACCCCCCGGTCGCCCGGTAGGCGGTAAGCTAATAGGGAGTTTTAGAATAACGTACGCAATTTTAGCGCACGCTAGCGCTAAATTTAGCGCTTGTATTAGCGCACGCGACGCAAGAGAGTTTTAGAATAGCGTTTCTCCGCCGCGACGCAAAAGCCCAAGCATCTCGCGCTTGCGACGCCACCAAGATACAGTAAAAATTTTTATTTTACACACGAAATGCTGTAACTATAGAAAAAAAAAACGAGTTTTTTGGTCCAGAGTAGCATTTTAATTTGCTTAAACATCAGAACGCGACGCGAGCGGTTGAGCGGTCGTGTCGGCTTGCGTCGCCTCGGCAAGAGAGGTCTCGTGTACTGACCTTCGCACATCATACCTTCGCCGTGAAATGTTCGCGCGTCGCAAGCATCAAGTTGCCGGTGATCGTTGTCGAACCGAGTACAATGTCGTCCCGTATTGAAAATCGCAGTCGCGAGGATGCCGCCGACGTCGCACTCACGACGCCGCCAAAGCAGCCGCCGACATAATCCTGGAAGCCGCCATGTTTTTTTAACTGTGCTCGTCTTGGATTTAGCCAACTTCTCATCACGAATCCTCCTAGGAGAAGCGCAAAGACTCTTTGCGTACGCACGCTATTTCCGAGAAATAGCGCACGCTAAAATTGCGCACGCAAAGCGCAAAACCTGGTTTGCGTTCGGAGCATGCGCAGTGGCGACGACGCTATTCTTTGCGCACGCAAAGCTTTAGCGTGCGCTATTCTAAAACTCCCTAATACTCTCTAATGTGTGCGGTGAACACAAGGCGTCCTTTGTACGATGTTATGAGCCGTGCGATTGCGTCTTCAAGTCCGACCACAGCGAACAAACACCATATATATGAGATCCGAATGAGCCAATCGAGCAGCGGCAAAATTTGCATCGCCACGACGGTCGTCTTTGTGCGTCTGCTATCGACGGCTATAAACCAATCGCGCACTCTAAATGCGCCGTGATTCTCCGCTTGTTTTTAATGCGAAAGCATTAACTGGCCCTAAGGAGCCGGGAAGGCGTTGTTCGTGGAGGCGAAGACCGGAAGAGAACTTCCCCCCGCGAAACGGCTCTTAAAGGACACATGCAAAGGAAAAAAACATTTTTTAAACAACTTAGATGGAAAAAAGATGTAATAAAACAATATTACAACGAAGAAAAAAATGTTTAGAGCTATATTTACGGCGCTATACGAATTTGTAGTTGGCGCCCGCCGGCGCCGCGGACAAGTGGCCCTTATTTATCACGTGACTGGCCCTCATTTATCACGTGGTGCTTGCGCTCTTTCGGAAGCTTCGTATGGCGTCTAAAAGTAACTAATTCATTTTTGTTTGAAGTATAACAAAAAACTAAGATTAATAGGTAACTTTTAGAGCCCAAAGGAAACTCCTGAAAAAGCGCAAGCAGACGTGATAGACCTGTGCGTTGGTCAGACGACGGCGGCGGCGCACCGAAGCAGATGAACTTGTGCGGTGGAGGCGACGGCAGGGTGGAGAAACGCGTTGAAGCGGCGTTCGCACAACGCTCAGCGTGCGGCGGCAGCGTGATTTGCGGCGGCGGCGACGCAGCGCGGCGACGCCCGGGCCTACCACGTGACCAGCGGCGGCGCCCGCGGGCGCCAACTACAAAATCGTATAGCACCGTAAATATAGCTCTAAAATGTTTTTTTTTTTCGTTGTAAAATAGTTTTATGACATCCTTTTCCCATCTAAGCTGTTTAAAAAAAATGTTTTTTTTCCTTTGCATGTGTCCTTTAAAATGGCTGCGACGCGGCAGGCACGCCGTATAGTTGCAAGGAACGCCACCCCAGAGAGCGGCGCTGCTCCCTTTCGCCGCCGCAGCCGCGCACACCCGCCGCTCTCCAGATCCGCAGAGATTGCCCGGCTGGCCTCTGCAGACGATGGCGGAGCGCGCAGCTTGTAGGAATACGCTAAGTATACGAATGCTTTCGCATTCCTACACGTAAGCAGTGTTAAATGTCCTCCTGAATTTTTTTTTTTTTGTTCTTGTGCGTGATTGGTTTAGCTGGTGACAGCAGACGTACAAAGACTACGAGCGCAGTGACGATGCACTTTTTCGCGCTGCTTTGTTGGTTCTATTGAATCGTGTAGGGCGATGGCTGGCGGACAAACCTAATGTGAAACGGATTGTATATACACGTTCTAAATTGATCTCTCTGCCCCTGTATTATACTCTAAGAAATTCTAGAGCGTCTACTTTCCCGTAAAGCAGTCTGCAGAGCCAGTCGCTGCAGTCTGTGGCAGCGATTGGCTTACCTAAGTGCTTCCAGGAAATTTAAAAACTCTAGATTTTCTTTTTAATGTCTAGTGCACAGAACGCGGAAAAAAAATTGAAGAGTTTTAGAGCGGTTGCCAACATTTCATTAATGAGACTGCGCTTGGTCGAGGGCTTCAAAAGTGGTGCGTCGACCTACGAAAAAGTAAATGCCTTTTCTTTTTAGAGCGCAGCTCCTAGGCGCTCGTTCCCGTGTTTTGCGGCGTCGGCGTAGCCGGGGGTGGACGGGAGGGTACGCAGGAGAAGGGGAGGTTACGCAGGAGGAGCAAGGGAGGGTACGGAAGAGAAGGGGAGGTTACGCAGGAGGAGCAGGGGAGGGTACGGAAGAGAAGGGGAGGTTACGCAGGAGGAGCAGGGGAGGGTACGGAAGAGAAGGAGGGAAGAAGGACGAGGAGGGTGCAGAAAGCACGGTATGTCGCAAAATCAGAATACCTCGAGAGCTGCGCTCTAATCTTGCGTATCCTGCCGCAAAATTGTGCGTGCATTATTTACGATGTAGAGAAACGAACGTTCATTCACCTGCGTGCGTGTCATTTTTGAAGGTAATTAAATTAACGATTGGGCGCTCCTCACGTCCCCATTTGTGCCAGATGTTTGAAAGTCAAAGGGGATCAAGAAAACGGTCACTATAGTTGTGTTGTATTATTTCGTTCTGGCTGGCTTTTGCTCATTATATTAGTGCTTCTTGCTCCATGATTCACACTGGATGTGAAGCGACAAGAAAATGCCATGGACTCGGCACGAATGTAAAAAAAGAAAGAAATACCATCGGCGCACGTGCTTTTATCGAAATTAATTAAGTTGAATCGCTCGGAGTGTCAAATATTCTCATTTGTGCCGGATGTTAGCTGCAAGTGAGGGCCGTGTAATCGAATTTTTCTTAGTCTTAGCCGCTGTTGAATGAAATTTTTATCTGGCACATTCCGATCGAGTTTTAGAAATTAGAAAGCTCCGAATGCTTTTCAAAACGTGTTATACGCACGTTTTCTTCTTTTCTGTTTTATACTCGTGATGATGTGATGAGCGGAAAGAAAATATACCAAAAAAGAAAAAAAAAAACATCTCTTTATTCTTTCGAAAAGGAGCCGCTTCTCAGTGCAGAAAAAAATACTCAACACATCAAATAAAACGTATAAAAAGTAAATAAAACGTCTCGAGTAGTTAGACAAACT